AGTATGTATCGGAAATTTGTCTTAGTGTTGAGATCTGAGATTTCCCCAAAATTTTCTAAAAAAATTGGAGGTGAGAGCAACCAGAGAAAAATGATATGCAACCAGACATTCGCAGATTCACATAGTAATTTCAACTCAGTTGGTACCGTTGAGACTTTCGAATGAGTTAGTTTTGTTTCACAGGTAAAAATCTTCATGTTTACACAAAAAAAAAGTAAAAAATAATTTAAGCGAGCGACGGTATGCAAAATTTGTAATTCCTTACCCGACATTATTTGTTTTATTTAGTCAATTACAGCGCTCAATTAATTTTCAGAAACGCTTATTCACAAAGTTGATTGATAACATAAGGAGCCCATGATTAGAGCTTGTTTTTCACTAGAGGATGTACCGGAAACTTTATTGACCGAGTCAGGAACGTTTCAGCGTCACGAACCGGACAATAACGACTTGAAACTGAAAAAAATCCACCTTCTACGATAATTATCCGTTATTGCTTCACTTATGCTTTGATACTGAATGTCTGTATCATCATTTAGTATTGAGACAAAACTAGGTTTTAGCAATTTTTCAGTTCTTCTGATAAATTAATTTTGAGTCAGGAACATTTTAGTGTTCCCCTGTGCCAGAATGGATTACATTTACAGTGCTGATTTAAACTAATCGGTCAAAACGAGCTAAACTTGAAATTTAAACCGCGTTTTTCTCAAATTGCGTTGATTTTAGGTGAAACCTTATAAGACAAAACTTGCTCAAAATTTTAGCAGATAAATATGGTATAATTTGTTTTGCGAAATTCGGGCCCGAAATTTTACCCCAAAAATGGGTCATTTTGGCTTTTCTTAGTTAATCAAAAATTACGCCAAAAATACCCATTCGATCACTAACATAATTATATCAAAGTGAGCCCTTTAGGTAGTCCAACAAAATTTAAGAAGGGTATACTCTCCAAAACATTGTATAATTTAACTTATTTTTATTTGATAGACAAAAAAGGTCGTTTTTACTATATAAAATATCAACTTTTTATTTAAAAACAATTTATAAACTGTTTGCAATTTTTTTGGAGAAAATACCTTTCTTAAAATTTGTTGGACAACGTAAGGGGCTCACTTTGACATAATTATGTTTGTGATCGACTGGGTATTTTTTGCGTAATTTTTGATTAACTAAGAAAAGCCAAACTGACCAAATTTTGGAGTAAAAATTTGGGCCGAATTTCGCAAAACAAATTACACCATATTAATTCTGCTAAAATTTTCAGCAAGTTTTGTCTTCATAAGTTTTCACCTAAACTCAACCCAATTTGAGAAAAACGCATTTTAATCAGTGTTGAGTTTTCCTATAAAATTAAAAGAAAATTTTTAATGAATGGTGTTCTCCTCAGCCTTGTTAATTCAAGTGTCGAAATTTTGTCACAGTGCGGTGATTCATTACCTTGTTTTTATGAATCATGTCAAAACAAGATCTTTTTATTTCGGTTGATTCTCATTCAAAACTTCTCCATGAGAAATGCATAATTTCAGAATTGGTTTGACTTAATGGCAAACCTATGACTAGTGCTGGGTTTTGCACTTAAGTACGCATAAAAAGTATATCACAATGCTGAATTTGTGTTGTTTTTGATCAATCGAAAAAAAAAGGAAGTTGAGCTTAGCTATATCAAGGATTGATAAAACGATACGTTCGTTAAAGGTAAAACCAACTTGATTCTAACTCATATAAATCAAACACTGAATTAGAGGTCAACAACTAGACAGAACTAGATTGATTGACAGGCAGGTACCTGCTCACATTTATTAGTGATATGAGAAACTCTCAAGAATATATATAATGATAGGTATCAACTGAAATGATTGACATCCAAATATGCAGGTAAGGAAATGTCGTCATTCTGCCCAGCGTCGTCGTATTGATAATTCGTCGCATTTTAAAAAAGCAACGGTCGAATAATTTGAGAAAAAGGCTTCTTAGAGCATTATCAAAAAATTTAATGTATTTTTAATAGAGGTTAATAATAATGACATCAATTTCAAGCTACCGAAATTATGCGGAGGAAAAAATGATTAAGCATATTCAGAAGAGGGAAATTTAGTGAAATTAAACAAAATTTAAGTTCTAACAACAACGCCGAGCTCTGGAAATCTTTAGCTCAGGGAATTGCTATATTGACAGTTACCTAGTTTTTTTGTCAGAGAATACTGACTCTTTGACTCCGTAATTGCGAAATAAGTCGTTTTCTCTAATTTCATATGGGAACGATTGTGTGAGCCACACTTCCATGTTTGGCTGGTGAGAGAAGACATTTTAGTAAAGCTTCAATTAACCATTTTGAATAACATGAGATGCTCTATGAACAAAAGCATTTAACGTTTAAGAAATGGGTTTAAGTTTCTACACAAAAGCAAAGCCGATGTTTGCACTACCTGCGATAAAATACAAAACAATCACTAAATCGAAAAATATCAAAAAAAAAATCAGAAATGCCGAAATCTATCAAACGAAAAAAGTACCAAAAACACAAAGACAATAGAAGGTAAAAAAGAATAAAAAAAAACTTACCAAGCTGTAAACAAGCCAAAAATACCTGAGATGAAACTCTTTAAGCCCAAAACATTAAAAAAAAACGTATTAAACGTTTTTATCCCCCATCCCCCCTCAATACACACAAACACTTTTTCGCCCATCAAACGACAAAATGTGAGGCCAATACCCCGATATATTATAGGCCGAAACTTATCAACCCGAGAAAACAAAAAAAATACTTAAAAACTAATAAAAAATGTTTACAGCCCCATCCCCTATATACACACGCACACATTTTTTTTTGCTCCTTACACGACCTTCTTATGAGATCAAGAAACCAATATAAAATAGACTGAAACTTATTAAAGAATAAAAAAAGAAAAATGAAAAAAAAAATTGACTTTGAAAAAGGAAGACTTAAAAACTGAAGAAAAATTGTGAATGCCCATCCCCTTCATTACACACAAGTACACATTTTTTTTTTACTTTTTAAAGTATGCAATATGAGGCCAATAAGACGAAATAATATCGCCCGAGACTTATTTAGCAGAGAAAACAAAAAAATTAAAAACGAAAACAAAACAACCTAAGAAACAAATTTGGAACAAAACGGATATTCAAAACGCTGACATGCACAAAATGTGTCTGTTGCAATTTAGAGGCAACTGCTGTAGCTCAGAGTGCAACTTAGTGAAAATGAAGATCTTGAAATTGGAAAAATGGAGATCTTGAAATTGGAGATCATCCTGTGGACAAAGTTTTTTTACGGGAAATACCTTTTTTACGGGAAATTTCAAAATATAATGCAAATTTAATGCGAAGAGACCTCAAATGCAGAAATTTGTCAACTGGAAGGTAGGAATACCCAAAACGCAACGTCGTTTTTTTGAAAGCGTGCTCGTAGATGGCGATGGTTGTTTTAAGCTAAAATTCTGCAAACCGGTCTAAGTGTATTTATTTATTGATATCAACCATTTAACAAAAGCAAAGCCTGGTTTGGTTTAGTTTTACTTTGTGTTTCAAATTAGTTTGGCATTATGTGATGTTTCGACCCAGTTCAAATTTATGTTTCGACCAGTTTGACTTTGTTAAGAACTTTGTTTTCAAGTCGGAGAACACAATTACTCATTTTTTAAGCAAAAAGCAGATTTTGAGCACTGATCCGCTGAATAAAAAAACGTTGAGCTCCATAATTAGGTTACCAATTTTCTAGAGTGCACGGGTAAACTGTTAGTTTTTAAAAAAAATTTAAGTATTTAACAGTCAAAAAAACTACCGCCAGTATTTTATGAGCTTTTACGATCCATTACCGAGCGGTCATTAAGCCGGTGAATTTTGAATAAACACCAACTGAGCCTAAAACAAAAAAATGCCATTGGAAATTATTTGCATTAAAAATTTTGAGTTATTAAAGTTTTCATCTTAACTTTTACACTGCAACCGTCCTGAATTATTATTTTTAAAATTTTAAACATAATAAACAGACAGTTGAAAAAGAGTTAATTATCGAAAATTATGGAAACCAAAAAAAGCGCTCGTTATTTGACTCGTTTTTAAAAAAAAAACTTCTACTTCCGAATTTCATAGAAAAAAAATATCTGGCCTTAAACAGTCCTTTGAATTTTAAGAACAATTTATGATTGCCGGCTGCGACTCGAAACACATACATTAGGTTGCAGAGGCCACTGTGCCACCTATAGGCTACGCGGAAAGACGCCCTCTTCGAAATTCAGAACAACAAACAAGAACAAACCAAGACTCTGAAAACACAAACGACCTTTTTGTTCCGACCATTGAAAATAGGGAGGAACTGTTCGGGTGTGTTTTAGTTTTTTTTGGTTCCACGCAAATGAGTCTAGTGATATATCATTAAAAAAAAACTTTCAGTCGTGCTTCAAACATTAAAAAATATTCCAAAAAATTTGTCGAGAAAAACGGGGTTGATATTTTTGATTTCTCGTCTGATTTCGAGCGAGTAAAGCGAGCAGCATGCTAATTTATGCTCAACTTGAGCCATTCACAATAGCTTATTTATTCGAGTAAAAATAGTTTTTGGAGTTTTTTAACGCCCTTTCGAGAATCAAAAACTTTTCTTTTCTAGTCATTTTTCTTCAAAAATTGTTGTCCAGTTTGCCTAAATTACCATGACTAACGAGTATTACAGTAACTAAATTCTAGTTTTCTGTTCAGATCCTTTCATCACACTATGCAAAAAATGACACTACTTTGAAAAAAATGTGTTGTTTAAAACTATGGTTGGAACATTATGTGCTACTTGGACAGTAACCGGCTATTCTGGATAAGTTTTATTATCAATCACTATCTGTCCTTCAAAAATCACTATTGATAAGTCAAGATGTTTTTAATTGCTTTTCTCTTGTTTGTGTTACTTTGGTTTCTCGGGCACGCTTAGGCATTGAAACTGGATGTTTGATTTCTGGCGGTGACAAAGACACCTCATGATACATTTCAAGTCATTGCAAAATTTTTTTTATTAAGGCTCAAATTAACGCATATTAACTGTAACTTCAAGTCAAAAATTAGCACCAACAAGAAGAATTAACCAGTAAAAACATAAATCATGCTAAATAATAGTATTTACGTTCCTAATAGCACCATTATTGGAAGGCTCAAATTTATCTGATGAAAAAAAATTTTTCGCTTGCTATATGTCATTTAAAGAGCACTTAAAGCATTCACAGTTGTCGCGCTTTTCCCATTTTATTGCGTTCACATAAACGCAAGCTAACATAATTTCACGAAATCAGTTTTGTGAGTAATACAGCTCTATGATCACTGTGTTGTAGGGCGAAGCGAAAAACGTCCATTTCATTGGTTTTCCTTATGCACTTCTGAATTGCACATCAATTATATTTACACTTCAATTTCAGCAAATTTAAGTTATTTCATGTCTCATTTTGTCACAGGCTATCACTTTCATCAAAATCAACCCGCCGTTGTTGCTTGTTGTGATTTAGTTTAGATAGACATCTATCACGACACTCATTTGTCAGTCGCTCGCTTAATTCCCCTGCAGACGCCTTAGCTGACAGCAACTCTTTTGCCATCAGGGTTAACGGACATATATTCACTCCATTGGAGCCATAGTCCAGAGCATTGGCTGGACCACTAGCAAGAACTCCCGATGAGATGACCTGAGGTTGAACATTGGCGACCGCGACAACACAAGGTGCAATAGTGAAGCTTTGGAACTTGTCGCTGTCCAGAAAGAACTGCAACAAAAATCGAGTGAGTTCACTTAAACCATAGCTGTGACCCTTGAAGTAAAGAGTCAAGAATTTCAAAGCAAAATACCCCCACTACAATTCACCACACGATTCTTAAGTCCAAATATTGAAACATACTTTTTGCAAGCTGACCTTTAGTGGACTGTTATTAAGCAATTCTGAAGTGGACAGAGCTCTCTGTTTCTGACTTTTGATCCTCTGCAAATTCTTAAATTGTTCCCTATCTTTCCACCCCTCTATACCTTGCCCTTGTCCATCTTTGCCACCTGCTAACGAACATATAACTTGGCCTAAAGTACTCTTTTGTTAAGCATTTCGGCACAGAATTGACTTTAACTGATTATATTTGATTTTGATCATTTGCCAAGATGTATGATATGAGGGGAAAAATGTACACAGACGAAGCTGAGCTTCACACTACTTGCGATACAAAACAAGAAAGACAAGACTTAAGATTTATACAAAGTTAAAAAAACCAACTCACCCTCAAAACACACCCACACAAAAATTGATTGCTCGTCAAATGAAGCAATATTAGGTCACTAAGTCAATATAGTATAGCCCAAGACCTATTAAGAAAAAAACAGAAAGAAAAAAAAAAAAAAATTTAAGACTAATAAAAAGTTATTGAGTCCTCCTCACTCTCAAAACTCACATACAGGCACATACAAAAATTTTTCGCTCGTCAAAAGACGCAACATGAGGCCATTGAGCCGATTTAATATAGGCCGAAATCTATCAAGCGGAAAAAGGGGAAAAAACAGAGCCGAAAAAAGTCGTAATGAAAAACTATGATTTCTATCAAGATTTTTAGCATTTTGTTCGATCCAGAGGAGAGCATAAAACTTATGTTTCCCTTGAAATGAATACAAAACTAAGTCACTAAGTCAATGAAATAAAAGCCGAAACCATTTGGGCAGAATAAAGTTTTTCAGCGAAATTAACAAAAAAGAAAATATACGAAGTCAAAGTTAGTATAATTGCAAACAGCAGAAGTAAAGCAAAAGACTACACACAACTACAATGTAACTTGCATACAGCAAAAAACAATTCTCCGATGTGGCATCTAAGCCGACAAAACATATCAGACAAATAATAAGCCGACAATTTTTTTGAAACGTAATATTTCTCGTTTGAAAAAAAAAACAGGATGCTGTCAGATTCGAACCAAGAACCTTTGCCGTCCTATGCGCATTCGTTATCTTCAGACCAAGTGTGGCCTGTTTACGGGCAAAAAAAGTCTTGGATCCGATTGCAATACTCTTCCTTATCGCAAGGGTAATGATGTATGATATTATTGATATGAGAGGGAAAAAACTCACTTTCATTTCCCATGCGAAAAGTCAATAATTAAGCTTTTAAACCTCATACATCTTAAAATAGCCAACATACAGTTGGAAAAAGTATCAATGAACTCAACGAAATCTATCAAATTTCTGAAACTTTTTGTTCCATCTTTCGAAGAAAATGACGAAATATTAGTACTCGGGTTATTTTTTTCCTACAAAAAGTGCCGAAATATTTGTGCTAGTATAGAGGTTCATACTCTGGGTTGCTTTTTAAATAACCTTGCCCTGAGCTCAAATTTATAATATATTTCACATAGGAGCATTTTTTGTCATGTTACAAAGGTTTAAAAATTGACAATTTGAGATAAGTCAATTGGCTCCGATATCTTTTCAAATTAAAGTGAGGCAAGCTAGTTGTTCCAGATATTGCGTTAATAGTCAAAATTTATCATACTGTATGTTACATTGCGCGTGGGGGACGATTTCAATAGCTATCTTTTTCATTCCAATGCGATATCTAAAATATAAATCCACTTGGAAACTAAGAGCCATGCACGTTTTTCCCCGCTTCAATTGCATTTTCTTTGAAGAGCGTATAGCGAAAAAAACACACGACCTAAAAAAGTGTTCATTTGTTTCATTGACACTTTCAAAAATCACGAGTAGTAAAAAAAATAAAAATGGGAGAAGCTTTTAACTTGAGGAACCAAAGAGACGTCAAAATCACCTTCTCCACTGGCCAAATTTTGTTCCCCTTCATCACGACCAGCCTCTTCAGAGTGCCTGCTGCTCTTTTGAACTAACTTGACCTCTGCTTGTGTTTTTCCCCCTCCTCCCAGTCTGCTCACTCCCTTTTTGTTGCTCATTGAAGAACACGACGACACTAATACTCTGCATCTGCGTGACGATCTTCGAGATGACCTGCAAAATAAGAATTGAAAAACTAACTTTGTTTTACTCTTTTTTTTTTGCAAATTATTTGATTTCCTCTTTAAGACACGCTACCCGATAGAACATAGACAACAGAACCAAGTTTATCACTGAAAATCAAAGACTGAAACACGATCAACAATCGAATTGTATGCATGCATAAAAGATAGCAAATATCTAAAGCTTTAGGCGGATCAACTTCCAAGTGCTTAATTCAATCTAGTTCAATCAATCAATCAATACCACCAACCGCAGCATCTCCCAGAAGCAAAACCAAATTTAGTACTCGTCTCGGCATTTAAAACAACTCACGATGACATGCGGGAGGCTATGCTTCTTTGACTTCTCCTCGAACTAGTTGTCGCTCGTTTCCTTCTCACTTGTGTCCTCCTGCTGACAACAATTGAGTCGAACAGTTTCTTCCTCAGAGATTTCAGCATCTTATTCTGCTTGAAAATAACAGATCCATTTTAATATAAAGCTTAGTTTTTCAACAAAAATGGTAGTTTTCTATACCATGATACAAATTCGATTATAAATCAGAGTAGGTGTAAAACGCGCTGTTCCGTAACAGAATTATAGCTTATTCGCCTATTCCTCTCAATATTGACACAGAGACGAAGCGGAGTTTCGCATAACTTGCGCTACAACGCAAGCGTAACATTGCCAGCTAAGCTAGTGAACAGAAAATGATACGGAAGTCAAAAATATTCTATTTCAGAAATCAATGGAGACGCACAAATACCAGCATTAAATAAGCTTTTAATTATCACTCAGCCGACAAAATAAGGCTAGACGCCCATTGAGCCAAAAACCAAAAAAGAGATGCCATAAGAAATTGTTAACAAGAAAAAAAACTTCCGCAATAAAGCTTTAAGCTTAATATTTTACACCACAGCAGGCCTGATTTTTTTTAAAAACACTCAATTTTTGCCTTCCAAACGCCAGAAAACATATTGGCTATGTCAATAAAACATACTCTGACACCATCTAGGCTTAATAAAGCTTTAAAGCGAAGAAAAAAAAGTAAATTATACAAAGTCAGGGTTAGTAAACTTTTAAATTAAAACAGAGAAGTACATCAAAAACTTGGAACTTCAATTAAAAAAGCTTACAGCACAAGAAAAACCTGTGACTGACTACTAAGCCGACAGAATATAGCAGATAAATATTAGCCTGAAAACGCAATTTTTCCCGGAAAATAATTTTCAATTCCTTACATACTGAGAACACAAGCTGCAGCCGGGACTGTAACCCCCAGATCTTAGGGTGCAAAGGCAACCACGTTACCACTAGACCAAGGGAAAGTTGTAAAAATATAAAAAAACAAGTCGGCGAATTTTTTTTTATACAATAAATCGAAAACGTTATGTGAAAAAAGCCGAAATATCTAAAATACAAAAATTTAATGTTTGTTAAGATGATGATCACAAGCAACCTTAAAAAGCATTGGGAATCAATCACGAGCGGCCATTAACACGATAACATTTGGGTCTACCCGTATGAAGCAGAACTTGTCACAAAAAATTTTAAGCTAAAAAATTTTTCATGTTTTTACGACCCATATTTTGCCATCGAAACTACGCAATATCAATTATTTGAACCGATATAACATAAGGCGCAACCTGTGTTTAAAAAATACTTTTCAATATCAGACTTGATAAATTTACAAATTAAAAAATTTCTATCTCAGTAAAATTAGACAAAATTAAAACAGTCACTCAACGAAGCTTCGCATCACTTGCTACACAACACACAGATATATAAAAAACATATGGCGAAAAAAAAATGTTTTTTTTTCGTCTCGATAGAAGTTCATTGTAGGCAAACATGCCAAGCAAAATAATCGAACATTAAATTAGCAATGGAACAAAACTTACGAAGCGGAAACAAAGCCGACAACCGTTGAGCAGACATCAGTTGAGCCGAAAAAAAAATGATTTAAAAAACTTTTAAATCCAACATGAAACCAACAAAAAACAAAACTTTCAACTATAATAAAAACTACTTACAGCAGAAGAAAAATCCATTATGTGGCAACTAAGCCGACAGCCCTTGAGCAGACAAAAGAAAGTCCGATAATTCAATTTTTACCGGAAAAAAAAATGTAATAAGTGTAGAAAAACCCATTGTTTAGAAAGTATGCCGATAAAACTGTGCCAGGCAATATGAAGATATTTAAAAAAAAAAACGGAAAATGAATTGAACCGACATAAACAAGAACAGAAACCATTAATCAGGAAAAAATCAACATCTTTGCAAGAAATTTATTGGAAAGAATGAATAATACCTGAAACAAAATATCCGTCTAATAACTATTAAGTGATGATAGCTTTATTTAAATTGCTAAAAAATTGAGCGAGTCAGCCATAGAATGTAAAACGGGAAAAAAATCTAGTAACCAGTTGCTACACCTTTGCTGATCGCCAATCATCGGAGTAAACGAAAAAAATCATCTTTATAATTCTCTATCTATTCTTTCCAGGGCACGCTATGGAGCTTAAAAATGAGGGAGGCCATATAAACAACATTTAAAATAATAAATAATTGTTTATCATGATAAAAATCATTGGTTTGGTTTCACAAAAATATTGGTGCAAGTAGGCTGGCGCTAGGTGCGCTCTGCCCTTGTTAATTTTAGGGGTTAGGGTGCGCTTTGCCGAAACAACACCGGCAAATTGCATCCTTATTATCAGATTTATTTGTTCGGCAGAGCGCATTCGACCCCCTAAAATTAACACCGGCAGAGCGCACCCGCAGTCCAGAGTTAGGTAGAGCCAACCTACTTATACCAAAAATTTTGTGCAACCAAACCAATGAATTTTATTACACCGAAGACTTTAGTCAAGGTGTTATGGTATCGTGTAACGGGTTTTTTTTAAATGTTGTCTGTTGTCAAGTGTCGACAAATAACGTCCACAGTTATCAATTATCATGTGGGCTGGACTATATCGCGCTATGTCACGTGATTGCGTATGTTTGTTTCTTTATTTGTTCATCTTTATTTATTTAATTATCTGTTCTTCTATTTATTTAATTATGTTTAGTTTGCTTATATTTATTTATAATTTATGTATGTACATATTTATTTTTGTTTATTTTTATCACGTGTTTTGTTTATTTATTTAATTATTCTTTCTTTCATTTAGTTTTGCTTTTATTATTTCTGCGTGTGTATTTATTTAATTTATTTATTTTCATTTATTTATATTATGGGTCTGTTTGTTTGGTTATTTGTTCATATATATTTTTTCATGTCTATTTAATTATTTGTACATTTCACTTTTGCTTTTATTTATTTATTTATTTATTTATTTATTTATTTATGTATTTATTTATGTATTTATTTATTTATTTATGTATTGATTTATTTTTTTATTGCTTATTTATTTATCAGGTGTGTTTTGTTTATTTGTTGATATTTATTTCTATATTTATTTAATTATTCTTTCTTTCATTTAGTTTTGCTTTTATTATTAATGTATGTGTATTTATTTCATTTATTTATTTTCATTTATTCATATTATGGGTCTGTTTGTTTGGTTATTTGTTCATATATATTTTTTCATGTCTATTTAATTATTTGTACATTTCACTTTTGCTTTTATTTATTTATATATTTATTTATTTATGTATTCATTTATGTATTTATTTATTTATTTATTTATGTATTGATTTTTTTTTATTGCTTATTTATTTATCAGGTGTGTTTTGTTTATTTGTTGATATTTATTTCTATATTTATTTAATTATTCTTTCTTTCATTTAGTTTTGCTTTTATTATTTATGTATGTGTATTTATTTAATTCATTTACTTTCATTTATTTATATTATGGGTCTGTTTGTTTGGTTATTTGTTCATGAGATATATATTTTTTCATGTTAATTTAATTATTTGTACATTTCAGTTTTGCGTTTATTTATTTATTTATTTATGTATGTATTTATTTATTTATGTATTGATTTATTTTTTTATTGTTTATTTATTTATCAGGTGTGTTTTGTTTATTCGTTGATATTTATTGCTATATTTATTTAATTATTTTCTTTCATTTAGTTTTGCTTTTATTTATTATTCATGTATGTATTTATTTATTCATTTATTTATTTATGTTTATTTATTTTTGGTTTGTTCGTTCATTTGTTGGTTTGTTCGTTCATTTATTTATTTATTAAGTTAGCGTCTTTGTTGTTTGATTGTGAAATTTGATGTTTTACTTCTTAGCTATGTAGTTAAAAGCAAAAAAAAGATTTTCAATTTATTGTTCTGTTTAGGATATTTTCAGAAAGATCTGTATATCACCAATTAGCGTACAACGATTTACAGGGAACGCTGCCAACGAGATTTGTCCACTTGCTTTTGGGTTGCAGCTACATCAAAAATGATTTTAAATTATTTATTTTAAAGATTTATCTATAGTTATATCTGTCCGGTAATTAATTTTCAAATTTGCTTTTGTATTTCTCAAAAAAGAATTTGTTGGAGCGTGGACTCAATAACGTAAAGCAAAATGTTAAATTTTATGTTACTTCTATTTTCAGTCATGTAATGGAGCCATTTCGACCCACGGGCATTGCAAATGATGACAACAGTTGCTATCTCAATTCTGTTCTTCAGCTTTTGTTGAACTCAGATATAGCAAAATTTTGGTGTATACATGTATTAGTACGATTTTTTGTTCTAGAACTGTTATTCTTCAATTATTAGTTGTTCAAGTTGTTTGGTTTTTGCTTCAGTTTCTATGCCTTCGGTGTATTGCGCGTTGCGCCTATGTTTCTGATAAACAAGTTATCTATGGAGAATTTGAAGGTTTTAAATATGTATTTTGTTAACATCCCCTCTTTCTCACAGGCAGTAATGGCTAAATTGAAATTTTTTTGAATCTCTATAGGTGATAACAAATTTTATGTGAAATCATTTGGTGAAATCCCTTGGCTAAGGTCGCGATACCAAAAAAAGGTTGTTATTCTACCATAGTACCAGGCGAGCGAAAGAACCCGTATTTCAGTGCAACCATAAAAAAGCTCGAAACGGTTCGCAAAAGGGTACGCTCATAATTAAAAATTTCCCGGGCATTCTGATCACGTAACCAAAGTGAAGATAAAAATGTCGAAAATTGAAATGCCAGGAAAACTGAGACAATGAGTTGTGGCTTCACTAAAAATTTCAAAATCTTTAAAGCAAAAAATTGTCCAACATACTGATTTTTCTGCAGAAAAAAACGATAAACAGAAATTAAGCAGAGCCAATATTATAATTCTGAATTAAATGATTCCAGTAACTCCAAACCTAACCAAAACTTGGAAAAGACGAACTGTCTCTGAAAAACAGCCGTCTCTTTTGTAATAAACCGGTTACATAGACTACTTGCATCTTCCTCATGGGGATGTGGTCCTTGCTCCTTGAGATCACTGGGTAATTGCTCTCAGAGATTATAGGAGTCAGTGTTCACGTGACGGTCAGCGTGACAAGGCAATGCGTAAAACGAATGTCTTGAAATACTGCCTGACGGAAACAAAATGAAGGAAATTTCAGAGCGTGAAACAAAAATAGGACCAAAACTAAGAAATCAAGCATTTATCATTTTAAGAATGCCTAGCAAGGACGTTTTTTAAATTACAAAACGAAGACTTACATACGTCCTGGTCCTTTGATCTGAATCAAGCGAGATTAAATTAATGAATATGCAACGAAAGTATTCAAATATATGCTGACCACAAAACGAAATATTTACATCAAGTTGGAATTCACATCAACGATGAAAACAGGGGCGGATTTAGGGGGGGGGGGGGGGGGATTTGAAAACAGGGGCGGATTTGATACTTTTTCAGAAATCCATTTTTGGCCGACCGACCCTAAAATTTTTTTAAAGGCGCCTTTGGCGCCAATATATACTAACTTTGAGGGGGAGCGCGCGCCAAAAAAAACGCGATTTTTTTGTAAAATTTTTTCAAAAAGTGCCCAAAAACGGCTTTTTTGATTGTTTTTTCAAAAATTTGCCTGCGGCGCAGAAAATTTAGCCAAAATAGGGGCAAAACAGAGCTTTGGCAGAGCTCGAAAAATCAATTTGGTTGACCTAAAAAAAAAAAAAGGTCGTCAAAATTTTGGAAAATTTTTTGAAAATCCGCCCCCCCCCCTCGAGAAAATCCTAGATCCGCCCCTGGATGAAAATATTCGTTTTTATTGAGAAACCAATCCGTAAATCTGATGGATGCAGCATATCTTCTCGGGAAGGCTAGATAAATTTCATGATACTCAGAGCGGGCATTCTTAGGAACTGCGTCAGAAAATGTACCCAGAAAAGCCAAACAAGGAACATGTCAAAGACCTTTTGAATACATACAAAACTTTTCTTCGGACTGATCTATCTATTGATGTGGTTACATCTGAATTGACAAAAACTCATTACGTGGCTCCGAAATGTCTCAAGCAAATGACAGGGAGCAAATCCAAATACCTGAAAACATGCCATGCCTTTCGGGTAGCAACATTGTCGCTGCTGCACTAATTCAAGAAAATCAACGTGAGTCAAAAAGAACGACAGGCGTTTACAGTTCATTAAGAGGACAGAGCGAGTAAATCTGAATTTTATGAAAGTTCAATTTACGAAGATAATCTTTATCTACCTTCAAAAACGAAACACGCTGAGAAGTTCTATTACGGAGCAAAGGGATTCCTTCAAAACCAATGGTCGAACGGATTTCAAAAAAACACCGAAAAACCTTTCAACAGAAGAAGGAAAAATATATACGCAAGTTTTGATGACAGTATTGATAAACCGTCAAAACAATTTGTGCGGGATTCGCTAATAGCGAAATATAGTCCAGAAGTAGCAACTGATAAAAAAAAAGTGATGCGAGTTTACATGAAGCTTACCGCAAACGCTTTTGAAACAATTCCAAGGGAACTCAACATAAGCTTAAACAAGTCAGCTAAAAGAGCCCTCGGTCGCAGTTCTGAAAACATGCTATGCTATCTCTCACTGTACTGCAAACGTACACAAAAAATTGAGTTCGTGTTTCTTGAAGTTCAAATTATTCGCCAGAACACACGCAATAATTATGCTTTATTCCAAATCAATTTCAACTTTGATGATTGAAGATAACAAGTTTAAATTTCATGTTTTGAAAGGTACTGACTTGATATGTCAAGGAAAATGAAATCATTGTTTCTCTGTTAGTTTTTTTTTTGACAAATTTCGGCACAACACCCTCATAATTCGTGATTCAGTAATTTCTCCGCCATGTGCACCATATAACTTTGTTTTTGATGTTGATAATTTTTGAGAAAAATTCATTACTCAATGGAATGCTAAAAATCTATCCATGGAAGTTATTAGGGAAAGTTATCGTGATCACTGTAAAGCCGTTATGTGAAAAATAAAAATTTTTCTCGAAATCGGCAGAGCGCACGAATAAGTTTCTTTTCGACTGCAGAGCGCAGGTATAATTAGATGATAATATTGAAAACCAGGCTAGTATTTTGCTTTACGTAAGCAAAATTTCAACAAGTCCTTAAGAACAATCGAAATCCGGTCTGTTAAAGGAAGTAAGCCAAACAGCTGATCACAAAAATTCCATTACAAAACACGTTAATAAATGGATAGTTGTTGTTAATTGCAAGAGTGGGCCAGTAAAATGCCTAGCATTAAAAATTGCACCATGAAATTGATTCTATCAAAAATGTGCGAGTAACACACCTTATTTTGCTTCTGTTTCTCCAGAGATAGTGCAGTAGATTGTTGCTGTTCCTCATTAGTCAACACATAATCCAGATCACATGCCGTAGACTGCATCAAAGGCACTGGAGCCCCACTGCAATTCACCCACTCGTCCACATTATTCCCATACTCGCCTTCCTTTCCCTCCATTTGTTCATGACTGCCAACCGCGCCCAATTCTTCATATGTTTCTTCGATCTCATCAATGGGCTCATCTCGATTCGGAGCTAAAAACATTTTTGCTACAGTGAGCTAAATTTCAACCTCCTTTCATTTTTTCTTCATTTTATATTTACGTTTTTCTAAGTAGAAAGAGTTCACACAGAGGCGAAGCTGAGCTTCGCACTACTTGCGATACAACATAAAATCGAAATGTCGAAAAAACTATATCTATCATAATGAATAAGGCTAGTTTTGAAAGAAAACCATGCCGATACAATAGAATGTGAAATTAGCATCGGAAGATAATTTACCAAGCGGTAAAAATACCGTGGCAGAAACATTTTAAGCCGCAAAAAAATCAACAAGTTTAAGAAATATGAAAAGTCCCCGTCGCCCTCAAAACACTCAAAAAGCATTATTTGCTCGTCAAATGAAACAATATGAGACAACTAAGCCGATATATTATAGCCCGAAACCTAAGAAGCACAAAAACGCAGAAAAAAATTGAAAAAAGTAAGACTAATAAGAAGTTATTAAGCCCCTCTCGCTCTCAAAACAAAGACACGCACACACACACACTTTTTTCGCTCGTCGAAGGACGCAATGTGAGGCCGATAAGCCGATAAATTATAGGCCGAAACCTATCAGACCAAAAAAAAAAGAAAACAAAACAGGCGGTGAAAAAATTGTTCATGAAAAAATTTGAATTATAATTTCTGTTAAGATGTTTAGAATTTTGTTCAATCCACAGATGAGCATAAAAATATGTTTCCGTTGAAGCAACTCGAAATTAGGTCACTAAGCCGATAAAATATAGGCCGAAATCATTTGGACAGAATAAAGTTGTTAATAAAAAGAAGAAATAAATACGATGTCAAGATTAAAAAATACAAAGAAACAGCAGAGCACTACAAGCAACTAGATTGTTAAAAAAAACTAAAACTCAAATAAGCGATTTAGTCGGATGATAAAACAAAGCGTAAACTAAGACGAAAAAAAAGTAAACCGAAAACAAAGAAGTCGAACATTAAAAAAAAACATGTAAGCTGCGAATTTATTGGAGTAACACTAATAAGTATGCACAGTGAGAGTAATAGACCAATGATCGCAAATAGACAACGCACATACTGCATGCATGTCGTGTACTGCATGCTGAAATCTGCGGACAAGTTGTTTACAGAAAAAGTCTAGTACCCGATTGCAATACTCTTGCTATCGCAAGGGTAAAAATACAGTTAGAAAGGGCAATTAGGAAGGTAAATACAGCTTCATTCAAGTTCTATATATTTTGTCTCTGGTAATCAAAAAAACTTACAGTTCGAAACGTCTATAATTTCTTCCATCGTACTCCTTTTTGGTTTCTTCGGCCTCATCGGGGGCGCCAGCTTTCCACGTTTCTCAGGTGTACGCAGAACTACCGCAGTTTCCCCTTGGTGCTCATGATCACGCATAGCAGTGATAACATTCACATCTGAAGCCTCTACAGCACCGTTGAGATCTTGCTGAACACTTGGTTCAGTCAGATTATTATTCTCCTCATCAATCAAAATATTTTCATCAAGTTTGGGAAAATCATTTTCGGCAGTCGAATCAGATTTACTCCGAGAACTAGCATCTTTCGGATCACCTGCATCCAAGCTTTTGTTATCTTTGCTTTTCGACATATTTTCAGCAAACAGAGGAGCTTCGTTGTCAGCTGCATTCTCGACCAAGAAAATTGGAACTTGAGCTGGACATGATTGATCATTCTCTTCATCAGCAGGTTTTGGTGACTCATTACTCACGAAGTCTCCAAGATCCAACGCATTAATCAGTCTGCTGTTAGGCGTTTCGACTACACTCAGCGGAGACGCAGCTACAGGAGGCGAAACTCCTAGTTGCAGAAGGTTTTCATGCATCAGTTCTTTAATTTTCGCTGATTTGGGAAGGTTCGGGGTTTCCCGGAGGGTTTCCATTTCCCAACCAGAAAAACTCTGGTTGCTGATGTTACTAGTTTTGCTTGCCTCATCGTCCATTTCTGGACTCGATTCTTCTAAAGGGGCGCGGGCGAAGGGAGTTAACCGTCTGCCTCTTGTGTTTCTTATGCTGCTCCGAGGTCCTTGGGGAGGCGTTACGAATAGAGACAACTCCTGATATCTATCGCCGTCGTACTCGTGGTCAACTTCTTTCAACGAATTCATTACACTAACTTCTACAACTAAAGCAACGACAAAAACATCTTAATACTTTTATGGCGCGCTCTACTTTGCTCCATACGAACTAAACAGTTTCAAAAATCTAATTTACCGTCTCTCTCTCTGAATAGAAAGAAACACTATTATTTATGTAACTTGATTAAAAATCGTCGAAATTCTCCATTCTAGAACTGTCACTCACTCAAAAATATTCATGAAATAAACATTCACCTTCACTCGTACTCGAATCCCGGTGATTGTCAGAAACAGTTTCCCAACTTCTCTGACCAGGTTCCAAAAGAACTCGAGAGAAGAGGGTACTCTCTCCGACATTATTTTCATCACAGTCGCTAACGCGACTGGATTTTCTCGTCTTTCTCGCTATTCGAACCTTCTTAGCTTTGACCTCCTTGATCTGTGGAGTGTCTGCGTGTTTGCTCATATTTAGTAAAGTCGAATTTACAAATCTAGCCTATATATACAACTATTATCTGAAATAAAAAAGAGAACAGTTAAAAATATAGCTCAACAATCCAATGCAGTAACCGAGAATGCTCGCTTCTTTGTCAACTGTTTTCAATCACCGAGATTTATTCTTGAGTACGGTCGACTAAACCTTAAATTTATCGGTGCTATCGGAAGCAGCGGCTTACATCAACTCATAAATTAGCCAACCAGTAGAGGATCTGCCTGCGAGACGTGTTAGGTCACATGATAAAAAGAGTGTTAATGTAAACCACTGATTGACAATCAAACCTCCAAATATTTTAAAGCTATAAATCACAAAACCAAAGTAGCCGAGTCAAAACATTGCACTTTGACGCATGACTTACAGGAAGATGCATCGCTAGAACAGAGCCTTTCAAAAACTAATTGGGATCAAAACAATTAAATTGCAATTAATTGATAACAAAAAATATTGTAGTTGATTGGCAACAAAATAATTAAATTGCAATTAAGTGCAATTAAAGGGAAAAAGTTTCAATTCTCGTTGGCGCTCGCGTCCACTGTTGCTTCGTTCCAAATTCGATGGTTGAATTTCAGAAACAACTGCATTTCCAGATTAATGTCATTGTAGGTCATTGTTGACAACCGTCAAAACAAATAATGGATTTATTTACACACGCCACTTCAGTGTTTTCCCACGCCCTTCTGTTTTTTCCAGGTATCAACCACGTAGTGTGGCCTTGTTTCACCAAAATAGAGACTCCAATTAATTACAATTAATTGGTTTATAAAAATTTTAATTGAAATAATTGGAGGTCTTACAATTTTCATCAATTAATTTATGGAAGCTAGTCACCTCAAAATCTCCTCGCCCTCAAAACAGACACACAAACAACAACAAAAAAAATAATCTTTGCGCTTATCAAACGACACAATATGAGGCCACTAAGCCGATTTGGTAAATGAAAAAAAAAGAAAATTTGATAAATCGAGTTGAACACAGCCAACTAAACATGAAAAATTTCGAAAAGGATGGATATTTAAAAAAAATAACGAGCTCAAAATATGTTTTTATTTTTGCAGTATTTCAACAAAGAGGCGAAGCTTCGCTTCACAAACACTAGCGGGAACACGACAAAAAGCAGCTCTGTAAAGTGCAATAAGAAAAATTAGAAAGTAGCCTCGCGAATTAGTAAAAATTAGTCTGCATCTCGGCTTTGAACCTGCTATCAAGAAATTATGAAACACACACATTAACCAAGGACGCTATAGTTCCAGAATGCTAGAGGCATAGTTCCAGAATGACACTAAAGCCATAGTTCCAGAAACAAAAAAATTTGGCTAAAACAAAAAATATTGAAATAAATTACATGTTAGCTTGAAATTAGCAACAAATCGAAAGGGTGAAAACAAAAAAGTTTAAAAATCTCAGATATTTGTGGTTAAAATTAGCAAATGCTTATTAAAAAAAAAACGTTTTGCTTGGCTAATTTTTTAAGACTTTAACTAATGACCTGTAGGACACATTTGATAATCTGATCATTTTGTACGGGTGCCGGATATCAAGCCGACGGGACTTCAAGCCGAACATTTTGTCAAAAAGTTGTGAAATATGGTTAATTTGAAAACTGTTTTGGAGAATTTCTCAATTTCATGCGCTTTCTTTACAAGTTAATGGCTTTTTCATAATTTTTAAGCCTCTTATTGATGTTTAGGAATAATAAAAATCAAAATATTGTCAAAGGTTTTTTCAAGTGTGTAAATTAAGCATCTCAAAATCCGGCTGATCTAATTATCTCATGTCACTCTCAAGTGGTGCATTGTTATGAGGAACGCTCATTATGAACAAAACTTGCCTAAATTTTTGAAACTAAACAATTTTAGAATTTTGAGTTGCTTGTGAAGTTAAAAATTTGGCTCGAAGTCCCTTCGGCGTGAAGTCTCGTCGGCTTGTTGTCCTAGACCCATTTAGTACATTAGTTAATAACTTTCAAACCTGAAGATGCACAAAAATGATCGAAAACGTTTCTTGAATTTGTGCGAAAATGTTCTCAAATTATTTAGATAAATAATAAAACCCCAAGGCGTTGAGCCAGATCATAAACAGTTTCTCCTACAAATGGTCGTAACTTTGATCTTCCGCTGTGTTAAGAGGAAAACTCTAATGATTATTCAAAGATTTGTTTATTCTACCATGTTAGAATTGAACTGGTTTTTATTGCAGCGGCCAGATCTCTCTACCACAGCCTGCAGCACCTTAGCGACCCAAAAAAGAACCATTACTTCCCATAATATCGGCAATTCCGGACTTCTCCTTCAACACGATCACCTCGAACCATCAAAAACCTCGTAAACCTTCTGTTCAACTCTAACGGATAAACCTCATGTGGTGTTGTGGCTCGATTAATAACAATATCAACAGCCACCGCACGAAAAACTACAGAGCTTGCACAGCAGAGGAATTGACAGAAATCTTGAAGACACTGACAAATATCAGCTCAATCGTATATTGCCATAGAAATGCTACCCCAGATATCAAGAACCAGCTGATCAGCTCGGGTATTATTTTCATTCCTGTTACGAGGCTTCTGATCTCAGAGGAAGAGAGGAACGCAGCTGATGAACGAGTATCAGGCACTACAACAAGGCGTTCAGATGCAGCTTAAGTCTCTAAAGAATGTTTTCGAATACCAATACAACCTGCCGGCTGTTTTGACGAAGCTTTGTTCAAACACGAAAAAAGAAGCCGCAAACAAGAACGGCGACAAAGGAAGACTGGTGGATAGGAGCATGGAAACTGTTGGGGGCACTGACGAGGAGCCTTCAACGGAGAGGGTGAGTTAAAATTGAGTTATTTATGCTGCTTAGTGTCACGTGAGATTTAATCCTCGTGGCAAGCAAAACAATGAGCACAATTTTAGTCCCACCTCCAGCAAATTATTTGGAAAAAAGTCCGCGATTTGTCTCAATAGTTGTTAATTTTATCACTTGCCAACAACGCATTAAATTTTGTAGAGTTTGTCTAGAAAACTATTTAATACCTGATTTTTGAGGTTCCGGAAAGAGCACTCGCGGACCAAGCCGTACACAGTCTTCAGACAAAACTTCTGAAAACGGAGAACAAGAAAGCAAGAACATATGAGAAAAAGTCGAGGGCAATCTAGAAAAAGGCTAGAGGGGTAGATGAGAAGCTTTGACCTTCAGTATTGAAATAAATACGTCTCAGAAATAAATAAGTGAGTAACGACAGTTAAAGGGACAAATCAAATGAAAATTAAAAAGCTATTGGGAAAGCAAGATCGACCCCTAGGGAAGCAAGGTGAGGGATCGGTAGAAGCTCGTGATGATATTGCTTTACCAGATTGGAATCAACTGGTTTTTCTTTAGGGTCGGTCAGCGATAAATGTAATGAGACTCACTTTCTTGCCGAAATTGATACCTTTCTTTCGGATCACAGAAGTCGAAAAGTTCCTGGGGAGGCCCTTACTGATACTAGGCAGTGGCAAAAGCCTATGCTAAAAGGGTGAAACAAACACTGTCTGACAGGGGCGTTGAGAAAGCCCGAAAGCATCTGAAGAGTAATGGATGGGTTGCGGTATCGTATGACAAGGTCGTTAATTTTTAAGTAATGAGCAAGAATACCTGCGAAAACAAGCTATCGGATTTCTTAGATTCAAACCAATTCAGCGAAAGAAAAGGAACAAGTGATTCGATTTTGATTAAGAGCAAAAAACATCAATAACTGTTGGCTATGAGGAAAAGAGACGAAATAAGTGAGAATCTTTACTCAAGGATGAGGTCTATGGGGGGCAGGCCGCCAGGCTTTATGGGTTGGCAAGGATACACAAAAAGAATACCTCATTGAGACCGGTCTTCTCATTGCCTGGTAGCTCCTATTATAACCTGAACAAGGTTCTTGCCTTTTTTGAGAAAAATGAGAGCGCAAACATCAAAACCAACTCAGTAGAAGCGAGAGAAATCTTAGAGAGTATTAGTCTTGAGCCCAATGAAAATGTGAAATCTCTACAGGTGAAGAGTTCGTATACAAAAGTACCACTCATAGAAGCAATAGACATGAGCATGATGAACCACCATCGGTTGCTGGAAAAACCATGAAAAAACTGTTGAATATAGCAGTTAGTCAAGTCTAATTCAAGTGCTATGAAACATGGTACGTTCAGAAAGATGGTTTAGGAAAAGGGCATCTCTTGACAAAATGTCTGCAAACTTATTGATGAAGCAGTACGAAGCTGCACTAAGGAGGGATATTCTTCAATTGTTCATGCCCAAAAAGGATCTTAATGGAACAAATCCCGAGTGCAACAGGAAGGTCACGTACAGGTCAAAAATTGTAGAATGAGAAAGCTGTTTGAACTGGCGTCTTTTCAAATTCGGTGATTTATCAGATGATGAGCGTCAAAATAAAGGTGAAACCGTCTTATACTGTCGAAATTGCATCGCGATAAGGGAGAAAAAACAAATCAGTTCAGCAAGCTAAACTTTTTCTCAGTTACGTTGATGATATGGGTAGGAAAGTGAAGGGTGATCCTAAAGAGGTCTTGCGCGCAGCAAAGTACACCATCCCATTTTATAGTTAACAAAGGAGACATCCAACAAATCTGTGAAGCTATCATTTTTGAATTTACAAATTAATATTGACCCAAACGGGGAGGTAACTGCGAATGGTATCAGTAACCAACAAACACAGGTACAATAAGAAATTTTGGAAGTTGCACCCCTCTTCGGTACAAGAAAAGTGTTATTCAAGATTGTGCTGGACACCTTAAAATCCCCTTACCCTCAAACAGACACGAACACGGAAAAGTTTTGCTCCTGAAACGACACAAAATGAAAAAAAGAAGGTTTGAGAAATCGAGTTGGTAAAGTTACAGCCAATTAAACAAGAAAAATTTGAACAGGATGGATACTAAAAAAACTATCTAGCTCTTTAATTCTCTAGCAGTTTCGCCTCCCAAGCACTAGCGAGAACACAAAAAGCAGCTCTATAAAATGCAAAAGGAAAAATAGAAATAAGTCTCGAATTGGGATAAATTTGCCCACGTCCCAGATTCGAACCTGCGACCTAGAGATTATGATACACACGCACCAGCCACAGACGCTATAGTTCCAGAATGCCAGAGTAATAGTTCCATAAGGACACTAAAGCTATAGTTCCGGGATCGTAAAATTTCGGCAAAAACAAAAAATAGAAAGAACTTACAGCATAAAATCAGCAACAAATCGATAACTTAAAAATGAAAAAGCTTAAAACTTTCAGAATATTGTGGTGAAGTTTATAATGTGGTTACATCAAAATTCTTCCATAATTTTAGTAGTAATTGAGATGTTTTGATTGGAGAAGATCATTTTTTAATCATTTTGTTTATATTAGTTTAGAATTTTAAAAATTGAAGATGCACAAAAATGTGCTAAAATGTTTGCTGAATTTACAAGTTTAACGCATTCTCAAGGACAGAGTGAGTTTTGGATGGTATCAAAAACCAGCAGATACAGGTACCATCCAAAACTTCAGTATGAGTTGTGCCACCTTCAGTATAAAACGAAAGTAATTGAAGGAACTGATCACCAGAGTACCTCTACATGGGAAGCTTTGATCAGGCAATAAAAATCAACCGTACACAGTGGTTGGACAACCAGTATCCAAAAAACTGATCGTCTTGGGTTGCGTCTCATGCCCTCGAAAATATCATACGGGAGAATATTAACATCAGAAGCAAGGTTCACACTCAGAGTTCTTCTAGCATTAAGTACGTACCACCCATGCTGATTATTCAATATCGAAGTAACTCATTCAGACTTTTGCAAAAAAATTTTGGATATCAACGTTGCGCTATTAGTGTTCACGACGCGCAAAATAAAAACATGTTTACATACATAAAAAACAACTCTTTCGAGTGAACTAAAACCCGAAGTGGTATCAAAATTAGAATGTAGTGGATGCAAAACATTTATGTTAACCAATCGGTCAGATATCTAACCACTAAGCTTTAGGCGCATGGTAAAGCGGATACTCCAGACGGGTAACATCTGGAACTCTGTGGAGGTGATAGTTTGAGCTCAGATTAAGTTGGATGATCATTTACCTGGCCACTAGCAATAAAACGTTATTAACGCTAAAGCGTTGGATATTAGGAATAAGAAGCCAGGAACCAAAACATGCGACAAACTTAGAAGCAGGGAGCTTACATTGAAGCTCAAATTCCAAAATCGAAAAAAATTGACTAAACAAAATAATTAAAAAACTGACATGTTAGCTTAGCATTAATTTCTAAACGTAAGCTGTAAAACTAAGAAATTGGGAATAAGAAAGAAGTCCTGGAAAAAAGTTGGCGGGATCTTTCAGAATTGATTGCACAATATATATTATATAAGGATTAGATAAATTATTTTTATGAATATTGCTTTGACACTTTTTAATGAGTTTTGATCATTCAACAAATTAGTTAGCTTTTAAAACCTGAAATATGCCCAAAACGTTTGATTATTTTACAATTTTAACTTGATCAATCTGTTCAAGTTTTCTGATACACAAAGACGACAAGCCAACATACATATGGGCTTTCTACAATGGGTCGTATTTTTTTTGTTTGTTTGTAACAATTTTCTTCATTTGGTTTTTTACATTTTTAAATCATGTTGGGGTCACGACGTGATAGGCAATACGATTGCCAGCCACTGCACGAATAATTGAAAATCCTGCTCTTTTGATTGAAATAACAGAGGAGCAAAACACCACCGAAGTTATTTATTGTCAGAGAAGTGGCATAACTGACATCAAGTGTCATTTGATCAGCACGGAAATTCTTGTGTTACCCATCATGAAATTTTTGATATCGAAAAAGAGGCTAGCCGAACCAGAGCTTCTGGAGGGTTACCGGAAACTTCGTCAGGACAGCGACATGGAACTGAAATCTCTGAGAGTTGTATTGAAATACAAGAATAACATCTAAGCGGTTCTCTCTAAACTTCAATCCAACACAAAGAAGAATTTTTTTGGACCAATCAGTCTACTTGCTTGTTTCAAATAAAATTTCTCAGAACAGAGATAAACAAGGCCAGGGCAGACGCGAAAAACATCTCAATCAAACTAGATAAGACAGGAGGCGCGTTACATAGGATTTATGCCTTCAGAGTAAACGAGGATTTATGCCTTCAGCAGTAAGATACTCAACACTCAGAAAAGCAACTACGGTAGTTAAATAGGAAGCTGGAAAAGTTCGCTGAAAAGCAGGAGTGACCATTAGGTCTGAACAAAGGGAGATCGATGACAACCCTTGATGACATAGAGTTAATATATTAAGTTGACTGCTGGAATAAATGATCAAATAAACAGAAATTATAAATAAAAAACAAAACAGGAGATAGCGATTGTTTCACTTGACGCAGAAACTTTTCTGGATAAAATGCTGAATGACAGGAAAATTAGCTTGCCAAATTTTAGTCCGAAAAACGTGTACAGAAAGTTTGACAAATGAGTCACCGTTCTGAGACACCTTAAGACCTCGACGACCTGGAAACTCCTAGATGCCGACGAATGTTGCACCTAGATGCAGACGAATAAAATTGAGCAAATGAGGAAAGCTCAAAAAATATAAATCTTAAGGCAAAATACATTCGGAAACCTGTTAAACATAGCCAACAGACGGCTTGAAAAAATAATATTGAACTCCAGGAAAAAGAAATAATGATCAAAATATTGTAGGCATTGTTTTTCAGTTTGAAAAATAAGCTAACCATTTTGAGGATTATTTATAATTCAGTTTATTATTTCCGCTTAAGTAAAATCTTCGTCTATAGTTTGAATTTCTAAGCTACATTGCTTTTTGCTTAAACTGGCAAAAATAAAACTGAACCTTCGTGTGCTTCCAAAACTCAATTTACATTTCGACAACCATATTTATAATTGATATTTGTCATACGGTTGAAAAGTTTACACAGAGGCAGAGCTGCACTTCGCAAACCATAGCCAGAACACGACAAAAAAGCAGCTATATATATTGATATAAAAAATCGAAATAAGCCTGGAATTTGTAAAACTTTGCTACGTATCGGATTCGATCCTGCAACCTCGAGATTTAGAGCCGCGCGTACTGCCCGCTCGGCCACGAACGCTTAACAAACGACAAACACTAGTCACAAATAAAGCAGCTACATATGCTTATTAATTGCCAATGCGATGCAGCAAGAGAGGAGCCAACTACAAATAGACACAATTTTGCAAGTAGTAATTTGGACACAGAGGCGAAGTTGCACTTCGCATACACAAGCAAAAATATGACCGAAAACGCTACTGGGAAAAACTGAATGAGTAAAACTTTGAGTATACTAAATATCTTAAGTGACGCACGCCAACTATGAGTCACATAATTGCTAAGTGACACAAGGCAATTATGACGCATTAGCAGAACCAGTCAATTTGAAAAAAAATTACCAACTAACATACCTCAATTTATAGAGCGGACGCATTTAACTTTAAACGAAAAAGTTCATTAAAAACATGCAACCCTGCTGAGGTTCGAACTCTCTTATTTTGCTGCTGGTCTCCTTCCCTACCTCTACGCTACAGAGCCATGACACCTTGAAGCTAAAGTGCAATATGTAATATAATAATGTGTGTTAATATCCTTAGCAATTGCCGTACTTAATCGCTGGTTATTGATCTTATATCACATTCAACACTAATATTTACAACTTAGCTTGGAAAAAAAGAGAGTTCATAGTATCACACAAGCTTTGCTTGTGTAAAGATAACAAACTGAAGGTATCCACGCTAAGTATGCATGTGAAAAAATCGAGAGCATTAAGCCAAATCAAGTTTACAATAAGTATTTCAAAAAACTGCTTTTGTCGGGTAAAAAATGAAAATTTCACTGATATTTTCTTTGAAAGTTAGGATAACTACAACAGCCTGTATTGGCATCATTGACGTGATTATACTTCAATGCTGTTTTAGAGCATATTACAAAGATATCCGGTTGCTGCAGACGAAGCACAAGGTTCCAACCATTTTCATATAAAAACGTTTCCAATTTTTCATTTAATTAGCGTGTTTTTTAGCGTAGAAAATGGTTGAATTAGGCATAATTGACAACGGTTGTATTCGAAAAATGAATTAAAACAAATGCAAAACAAATGATAGAATTTTTTTCTAGTTTTCTTGCTCAAATTAGTTAAAAGTTTGCTATTGGTAAGGAAGCGCTAAACGAAGCTAGCAAACCTTGTTTTCTTTCAGTAAAATATTTTTTAGCACTTAAATATAACTTTTTTATAAACAGACCTAACCATTCGCTTTACTCGCTCAAAATTAGACTCAAAATTTTTAATATCGTTCGAATCTCGAAAGAGATTTAAAATGATATACAACTCGACCAATTGCGCTGATTTTGTGGCGTGAAAACAAAACAAGAACTAAGTCATTAACACTAAACAAAAAATACAAACCATTTTTTCGAATTAACCTGTTTAAAGAGCTTTAAAATTAGTTGCTAGTTTCACTTACCTTGAATCAACTGATGCAGAAATCCTGGGTTGTAATTTCTTGGTGAACTTATTGTAATAAAAGCTCTAACGATTTCGTCGCTGAATGTTTAATCAAATTGCTACTTTTCTAAAAGCTTTAGACAAGTTATTATGGATGAAAGTACGAAAACACTGCTTCCGAGACAAGCTACACTTCATAATTCTTTCATAAAACCAATAATTTAACTTTTTTGTATTTAAGAACAGAATACTAACTAATTGAACAACAAAAAAGACAATATGTATGTACATGTAGCAAATTCGGTTGTCTTGTGTTATTTGTGAGTTCTTTAGATCAGTCAGCGCTCTTCAGAATAGGCCACGCTTTTTCGTCCCATTCTTCGTCCCATCTTACTCAGGGGTTGTCAACATTAAGACACGACATTCAAAATGACTATATTTTTCATGGAGTACTGAGCTAAGACCTAATATAAATGCTGTAGAATTCAGAAAGATCCTCAAACGAATAAATTATACAGCTAGGCAAGAGAACAGCGGTCAAATCAAAACTGAAGACAAGCCAAGAAAGTTTAAAGCTCGTAGGAGTCTAAATTAAAGCAGCTAGATTGCTTCTTGGGCATTTAGTGACCGCTTGATATGCTTCGCCATACAAGTTGCGGACATTTAAACTTTTTTTTGTCAAAACTCGAACTGAAAATTAACATTTGACAACCTCTGACCTCAAATGGTTATTCTTCCTCAAATTACCCCTCATTCGTTCCAGAATTCCATTGGTATTCCCGATTTCACTTACTATTCGTTCTAATTGATCATAGAGTTCCTTGGCGTCCTTGGAATTGATTGCATGTCCAACAAATCAAAGATAGTACACAAATACTTGCAGTTTAGCACGCAAGCGATACTCAATGTCAATAAAAGTCTCCAGGTGGTTCTCTGAATTCTTTGCAAAAACTTGGAACCCATCCGAGGCATTTTCCTATGATATAAACATACTATTTGGACAAAATATATATGCTGTCTGGCCTGCTCTGCCAATTGAGATATAATTTTGAGATATTCGTCGAAAAAAAGTGAAATTAATTTCGACCTCTTTGAAGCCCCATTTGATATTGACTTTTCACAAATAACTGCAGTCAAGTAAAACCGTAGCCAAAAATTAAACTCCATTTTAAATTCTCACGCTCAAACACAACTAATTAACTTTCAAAAATCGTGTTCGGATCAAAGTGATCGGAAAAATTTGAAATGCACAGCAACCGACTACTTCCGAGCCTTAAAATTTGTTGGACAGCCAGCCTCAAAGTGCAATCCCGTCACTTCATGCTCGACCAATTCCCCAATGCAGTGGTACTTCACAGCACACACAGGCAGATTGCACCCGAACATGTCCACTACTTTCATTGGCAGATCTAGACCACTGGATGAAGTATGAAGGCATATACCCAGATCGGCACTTCCGATTAACTTCGGATAGTCTTCCGCTTCCAGCCAAGGTGTACAAATAGTCACATACTGCAATTTCAGATTGTCAATCGTCGATTTGTAGAATTCTTTCAAAGGACCTTTGCCTGTAATTGCACAAACAATTTTGGGATAATTTATCACGCTGCCTTTGTAATTTTGTTGATCACACATTGAGTTGTACTTTACTAGAGCGTCAAGCAGAATTCCAAAGTCTTCGTCTGGTGTCCAGCTTGTCGAACTCACTAGTAATATTGCATCCTGTCTGTTTCCAATCAGAAGTGATCTTAAGTCCATGTCAGTGAAGTAATTTGTTTTAGATAGAAATTCACCTCTCTCTGTTTCATTCAGTTCTTTGAATCTCCTTGGAGCTTTGTCGTACAAAACTGTCGAATGGACGCTCCAATTTGAGTTCAAGTCTTTCTGCATGGCTTTCGAAACGCAGAAATTGAAGTCAGAGAATTGAGAAAAGAACATTTCGTATATTTTGCTGAAACAAATTTTCACTGACTGGTATGCAGAGAATCTGAGCGAACAAAAAGAAACATACAGATTTATCGAAAATCAAATTTCACTAGCATAAAATGGTTACATATTCTAGTCCTCAAAAATTGGTCAAATCCAACGCAGTTGCAATAGTTGCTAACCTTTGTAGAAACAGATTGAGCACAGTTAGTGGTAGTCAAATAACTGACCTTAACTTAAGAAGTAGACCAGAGTTTGACTTAAGTGATAGTGCGAGGATAGTGTGCGCGTAGTTATGCCAATCGAAAACCAGTACACATCCCCATAGAAATCTGAACAAAACACTGACTGCCATAGTTGGGATGCAGGGCGGATTCTGCAGCAGTACTAACGACGGTCGGTCGCATTTGCAGAATGCAACCATCAGATACATTGTCTGCTCAATTGCCTAAAATTAACAAAGCCTTCGTGTTATCTTGAAAAGCTTCAATTAAAAAACATATAGGTCTTCAGAGGCAGCATATATATGTTTTTCTGATCAAATTACACCAATTTTTTTTCCTTAGCTTAAATATAACTAGCGTGTAACGCACCTCTGGTGCTTCGAATTTTTCCGACAACTCATGAAAAACCGCAGATATTGGAGCCAAGATCTGCAACCTTTTAGTGTACTCTGACTGCACCCAATTACAGGGTTGGCAATTTCCAAATTTATTTAGAAAAACTTTATTTCCAATTTTGAAAAACCATAAAATCGCCACACCTCGAAAATTTAAGGGGCCTCTGGAGAAAATTGGAGACCAGATTTGCAACTACTGAGAGTCCCTGAGAGCACCCTACTATATAGTTGGGAATTTAAACTTTCGTGAGTTTTTTTAAATCTAAGTTTGCGAAAAAAATTGAAAAAATCATAATAAAAGTCACATCTTGGAAACTAAAAAGATTTGAGCATTCATAATTAGAGGCAAGACTTGCAACGCCTGGTTGTACGCTGATAATAAGGTTGTCTCTCCATCAAATTAGTAGTTTCAAATTTTGGGAAATTTTTGTAGGGAAGTTCTTTGAGAAATTTTGATAAAATTTGTCAAAAATATGTCAAAAACTAAAGCATTTGAGCAGTCGCATTTGAGCAGTTGCATTTTGCAAGATTTGTAAATCCTGAGAAAACCCTGACAGCACTCAACTACAGGGTTGGGACTTTCAAATTTTGAAAAAACAAATCAATTTGTTTCCTGAACATTTTTAAAAAAATCACAAAAAACGTCATATCACGAAAACTACAAGTATTTGAGCAGTCATATTTGAAGGCATGATTTTCAACCCCTGAGAGTACCCTGAAAGCATCCAACTACAGGGTAAGGAATTTTACATTTGGAAAAATATTGATTTAATTTTTTTGAAAATTTTTTGAAAAATTACAAAACACCTAATATCGAAAACTACAAGAATTTGAGCAGTCATAATTAGAGTCAAGGCTCTCAACTCCTGAGAGTACTCTGATAGCCCCCAAATACAGGGTTGGGAATTTCAAATTTTGAAGAAAAAAATTTCGCTTAATCTATTATATCTATTATATATTTAAATGCGGGCTTGACTATCTCGCCACGTTTCAGCTTTTTCAACGTAATTTTTAGGCATGTTCAATAGTGGGATGCTGTCAAGATTCCCCAAAAGGTTGCGATTTTGGCCTCCATTTAAGAATACTCAAATCCTTATAATGTAAGAGATACGACGATTTTAGCGATTTGTTTTCAAAAATTGTCGTAAAAATTAAAATTCCAACATAATTTACCAAACTTCACCTAACCCTGTTGTTAAGTGCTGCCAGATTATTCTTAAGCATTGCAAATCTTGCCTATAAATGTGACGGCTCAAATCCTTGTAGTTTTCGAGATATGACATTTTTTGTAATTTTTTCAAAAAAATTTTTACGAAAAATTAACGAAACTTTTTTTTTCAAAATTTGAAATTCCCAACCTTGTATTTGAGGCTATCAGAGTACTCTCGGGAGTTAAGAGCCTTGCCTCTAATTCTGACTGCTCAAACTCTTGTAGTTTTCGATATTACGTTTTGTGTAATTTTTCAAAAAAATTTTTAAAAAAAATGAATAAATTTTTTTCCAAATTAAAAATTCCTTACCCTGTAGTTGGATTCTTTTAGGGTACTCTCAGGGGTGGAAAATCATGCGTTCAAATATGACTGCTCAATTCCTTAAAATTTTTTATTGAAAAAGTCACAAAAAACGTCATATCTCGAAAACTACAAGGATTTGAGCCGTCACATTTAGAGGCAAGATTTGCAATGCTTGAGAATACTCTTACAGCACCTAACAACACGGTTAGGGGAAGTTTGGTAAATTTTGTTGGAGTTTAAGTTTTCCGAAAATTTAAAAAAAAAATCACGAAAATCGTCTTCTCTTACACCAAGGATTTGAGTATTCTTAAATGGAGGCCAAATTCGCAACCTTTTGGGGAATCCTGACAGCATCCCACTATTGGTCTGCTAATTTTTAACTCGGTGGAAAAACCACTGAATTCAAACTGGATAATCGAAAAAATCTTAACCATTGCAATATGCGATATAGCTTAAACATGCAAAAAAAATTACGTTGAAAAAGCTTAAACGTGGCGAGATAGTGAAGCCCGCATTTAATTATATAAGATAGATTAAACGATATTTTTTTCTTCAAAATTTTCAAATCCCAACCCTGTATTTGGGGGCTATCAGAGTACTCTCAGGAGTTGAGAGCCTTGCCTCTAATTATGACTGCTCAAATTCTTGTAGTTTTCGAAATAACATTTTTTGTAATTTTTCAAAGAATATTCAAAAAAATTAAATTTATTTTTTTTCCAAATTTAATTTGCTTACATTGTAGTTGGATGCTGCTTTCAGGGTACTCTCAGGGGTTGAAAATCATGCGATCAAACATGACTGCTCAAATCCTTAAAATTTTTTTGAAAACATCACAAAAAACGTCAAATCTCGAAAACTACAAGGATTTGAGCCGTCACATTTAGAGGCAACATTTGCAATCCTTGAGAACACTCTTACAGCACCTAACAACACGTTTAGGGGAAATTTGGTAAATTTTGTTGGAGTTTAAGTTTTCTGAAATTTTTTTTAAAAAAAATCACGAAAATCGTCTTCTCTTACACTAAGGATTTGAGTATTCTTAAATGGAGGCCAAATTCGCAACCTTTTGGGGAATCCTGACAGCATCCCACTATTGGGCTGCTAATTTTTAACTCGGTGGAATAACCACTGAATTCAAACTGGAAAAGCGAAAAAAATCTAAACCATTGCAATATGCGATATAGCTTAAACATGCAAAAAAATTACGTTGAAAAAGCTTAAACGTGGCGAGATAGTGAAGCCCGCATTTAATTATTTCATAGATAGATTAAACTAAATTTTTTTCTTCAAAATTTGCAAATCCCAACCCTGTATTTGGGGGCTATCAGAGTACTCTCAGGAGTTGCGAGCCTTGCCTCTAATTATGACTGCACAAATTCTTGTAGTTTTCGAAATTACGTTTTTTGTAATTTTTCAAAGAATATTCAAAAAAAAATTAAATTAATTTTTTTTCCAAATTTAAAATTCCTTACCCTGTAGTTGGATGCTTTCAGGGTACTCTCAGGGGTTGACAATCATGCGATCAAACATGACTGCTCAAATCCTTAAAATTTTTTTGAAAACATCACAAAAAACGTCATATCTCGAAAACTACAAGGATTTGAGCCGTCACATTTAGAGGCAAGATTTGCAATCCTTGAGAATACTCTTACAGCACCGAACAACACGGTTAGGAGAAATTTGGTAAATTTTGTTGGAGTTTATGTTTTCTGAAAATTTTTTTAAAAAAATCACGAAAATCGTCTTCTCTTACACTATAAGGATTTGAGTATTCTTAAATGTAGGCCAAATTCGCAACCTTTTGGGGAATCCTGACAGCATCCCACTATTGGGCTGCTTATTTTTAACTCGGTGGAATAACCACTTAATTCAAACTGGAAAATCGAAAAAATCTTAACCATTGCAATATGCGATATAGCTTAAACATGCAAAAAAAATACGCTGAAAAAGCTTAAACGTGGCGAGATAGTGAAGCCCGCATTTAATTATATAATAGATAGATTAAACGAAATTTTTTTCTTCAAAATTTGAAAATCCCAAGCCTGTATTTGGGGGCTATCAGAGTACTCTCAGGAATTGAGAGCCTTGCCTCTAATTATGACTGCTCAAATTGTTGTAGTTTTCGATACTACGTTTTTTGTAATTTTTCAAAGAATTTTCAATAAATTAATTTTTCTTCCAAATTTAAAAGTCCTTACCTTGTAGTTGGATGCTTACAGGGTACTCTCAGGGGTTGACAATCATGCGATCGAATATGACTGCTCAAATCCTTAAATTTTTTTTGAAAAAATCACAAAAAACGTCATATCTCGAAAACTACAAGGATTTGAGCCGTCACATTTAGAGGCAAGATTTGCAATCCTTGAGAACACTCTTACAGCACCTAACAACAGGGTTAGGGGAAGTTTGGTAAATTATGTTGGAATTTAAGTTTTCTGGAAATTTTTGAAAAAATCAGGAAAATCGTCGTATCTCTTACTATAAGGATTTGAGTATTCTTAAATGGAGGCCAAATTCGCAACCTTTTGGGGAATCCTGACAGCATCCCACTATTGGGCTGCTAATTTTAACTCGGTGGAATAACCACTGAATTCAAACTGGAAAATCGAAAAAATCTTAACCATTGCAATATGCGATATAGCTTAATTATGAAAAAAAAAATCACGTTGAAAAAGCCTAAACGTGGCGAGATAGTGAAGCCCGCATTTAATTAAATAATAGATAGATTAAACGAAATTTTTTTTCTTCAAAATTTGAAAATCCCAACCCTGTATTTGTGGGCTATCAGAGTACTCTTAGGAATTGAGAGCCTTGCCTCTAATTATGACTGCTCAAATTCTTGTAGTTTTCGATATGACGTTTTTTGTAATTTTTCAAAGAATTTTCAAAAAAATAAATTGATTTTTTTTCCAAATTTAAAATTCCTTACCTTGTAGTTGGATGCTTTCAGGGTATTCTCAGGGGTTGACAATCATGCGATCAAATATGATTGCTCAAATCCTTAAAATTTTTTTGAAAAAATCACAAAAAACGTCATATCTCGAAAACTACAAGGATTTGAGCCGTCACATTTAGAGGCAAGATTTGCAATCCTTGAGAACACTCTTACAGCATCTAACAACAGGGTTAGGGGAAGTTTGGTAAATTATGTTGGAATTTAAGTTTTCTGAAAATTTTTGAAAAAATCAGGAAAATCGTCGTATCTCTTACTATAAGGATTTGAGTATTCATAAATGGAGGCCAAATTCGCAACCTTTTGGGGAATCCTGACAGCATCCCACTACTGGGCTGCTACTTTTTAACTCGGTGGAATAA